CCAACTCCAGCCGCCTATGTAAAATCTGACTTCCAAATATTCCCTGAGGTCTACTTCACTGGCAGAACTTCCCCAAAAATCCTTCATTTGTCTGAAATATGAACAAAGTCCTTGGAAATCCCGCGCTGGAGCCGTGGCCACATTTCCCTGAGAAAGTTTTAGCCGAGTTAGAGGCTCTTGTGATCGAGGCAGATCTTTCCTACTGAAACCCACCGCCAAACAATAACCTGGCGGCTCCACCACCTCTCCTTTACAGTGCGTTTTATTGTTCATGCATGTTTTATTGTGAAAATGTGTATTTCCAAATATATATATGTATATATATATATATATATCCTTCTTATCGCGTTTAGAGAAGGGAGCGCCTTTCTCCCAAAAAATGATCGCAGATGGAACAATTAATTATTTCTCTCCCGTGATGAGCAGCTCGGATATACGTTGCTTCTAAATAACAAAAGGGGAGGAGAAAACATTTTCTAGTAAAGCCAAATTCCTTCGTTAGACCGCCTCCTAAACGTGCTAATAAAACTAATTCGTTTTATTTGCCCTGAACTTTTATATCTAACCCAGCGCGCTGATTAGCACAGCCCTCTGGAAGGCGGTATGTTCCTATCTCTCCCCGAGATGTGCCAGTTAAGATATGGCCGTTCCCACAATGAAACTGGAAAGAAAAGTGTCCCGTGCCTTTATCTCGGCGGTGTTTGCTCCTGGGGCAGCGGAGACGAGCGGGAGCTGCGCCGGGAGCAGCGCGGTGCCGCCGGGCAGTGGGGCGAGATCAGCCGTTCGGGGGGAAATAAGGAAAAAGAAAAGTCAGAAAAAAATATTGAAAAGGACAGAGGGGAAAGAAAAAAAAAATAATTAAAAACTGGGGGGAAGGGAACAAAATAAGAGAAAAAAATGTTAAAAGAAAAAAGTATAAAAGGAGGAAAAATAAATAAAATAATATGGAAGAAAAGAAGATGAATGCACATAAAGATAAATTATTTCTCTGATTTTGTATTTTAAAGCAGGAAATGTGAGGGTCTTGCAGAGATTCGCTGTTGTTCTAAGCACGTTAAAGAGCGCAGCGCATTATTAGAATATTTCAGCCTTTCAGGAAATGTCCTGTTGAAGGGAAATGTGTTTCCCCCATCCAAATGCTGGAGTAATTAAGAGGTTGCTCGGCCGAAACAAGGTGGGGGAAACCCACATGGAAACATAATGTCGTTCGTTCCAAATTCAGGCTCTTTTTTTTTCTGCTGAAGAAGAGTCTTCAGCAAATGCCAACGGAGTGCGTGGGCCTCTGATTATCCTGTTTCAGAGGCATCTTTTTGAGCCCACAAAAGAGCCTCATTTGGGGATCTAAAGATGCACAGAGTAACATGAGCAGGCTGCCTCGCAAACTCCGGTGCCCCTTCCTCCGTCAATTAATCAGAAAAGCATGTTCTCTCTGCCCAGAGAGGGAACTGTGGGGCTATATTGTGATTTTTCCCCTCTCTTTCCCCCACCTAGGGAAACAATCCCCGTATTCCTGAGCTGTCCATCTTCCGACGTTGTTATTGCAGGGCACCGACACTCTCCCGCTCACATCAGATTTATCAGAGATGAACCCAAGCCGCTTCTAACAGCAAATTCATATTGGTTTAGAGCAGAGCTCAGTGCCTGTGCTCTGATGGATGCGGGGAGGGCTGGGAGGCAACTCTGGGCAAGGGCGAGTTTGTGCTGCCAGGCATTTTGAGGGAAAAAAAGAGTTGTCCCAGGTCGGACGCGCAGGAGATTGTTTTATTTTCGGGGTGCGGGCAGGAGAATGGCGGCCGAAGGGAACCAGCACCGTCCCACCCCACCCCCGGCCGCTTCCAGCTGCAGAAACGCGAATAGGAAAACCGTTTCTCCAGCCGTCAGTCGCTGCATTTCAAGAAAGCCTTGGGGTATCATTTGTATCTGTCAGAAAACATTAAGCCTTCAACTTTTTCATCCCGAGTTTTTGCAAGCGCTGCCGCTGGCCGCCGCGCCCGGGGGAGCCCCGCAGCGGGATGCGGGTGGCAGGGGGTGGGGGGCAGCCCCGGGTGTCCCAGGTGCCCCGGGAAGGCTCCGCTCAGGAAAAATCCATTTCCCCCTTCGTGTTTCGATGGCGGGGAGAGCCAAGGCGGTGGGGCAGGGTCCGCCGAACCGAGGGAAGCGGGATGGGGCAGGGAGGCGGTGGGAGGCCGGGGGACCGAGAGCGACCGGTGGAAACCCTCCCGCGGAGCATCCGCGGCGCGGAGGGGCCCTGCGTTCCCGCGGAAGGCGGAGGCTTGGCCGACACTCGGAGGGACGAAGGCTGCGGGTCCAAAAGGGGCTAATTTCGTTTTGCTCTACTTCTTAGGAAAATTGCTGTCCTGGCTGCGCAGAGGAGGACAGGCCGGCCAGCAGCCAGCGTAATTTTCCACCTTCCCCTCCTGAGCGATTTAACACGCGCTTCGGGTTGGGTTTCTTCCCTCCCTCTGCTTCCCGCTCCGCCTGGCCTGGGGGGAACCCGGCTCTGTCTCTGGTGGAGGTCGGGGGGTTCCGGGGCTCCTTTCGTCGTTTTTGGGGTTTGCTTCGTTTTCCCTTCAGGACAAGCCCACGGTCGCGCGGAGAGTGCAGAGCTTTTCCTCGCGCGGCGGCGTAAACGTGGGTCTCCATGTTGTGCGTGAGGGTCATGCTTTTCCTTTGGGGTGATGCTGTTTTGGGGCAAGACACCCCCGGAACGCTGCCCCGACAGACACCACCCCCCCGGTACACCGCAACC